ACAATTCATCTAATATGACATATTAAACAATATTAATAACATAGAAACATAATAAATACTCTAGAATGAATAAAATGTCAATGTATATGAGGAGTAAGTGTTGGTGGTGGAGTTGGGTTTATAATGGCCACTGAGAGAAGCTGTACATATTAGTGGTGGAGGAAGCTTCTGCCACCACCACTATCCACAAACAATATATATACGTAATTTATAAATAAGAAATATTTACTTTTTAATTTATAAATAAGTAAGCAAGTTTATTCAGGTATATACAAATACAGTTACATACAAAGATTATCACACATAGCAGCATATATGCAAAGTACCTAAGATAACCGCAAAAAAAAAAGTCTGAATGACTTACGTATTTCCACTGGGGTCCTTAACCGAGTTTTTCATTGTTAGCCGAGCCAATATTTTGAAGCAAAAACACATCGGTACCCGATTTTATCGCTATCAGATAGCATCATTAACTGAGGGTCCACTGTATTTATTTGTAGTCCCAGGAGGACTACATCTGCCTGGGCTATACCTACCAGCTATATACACTGTGGCCCACAGCCATATTATTATTACTGGATGAACGGTTCAGAGAACCAACAAATTTATATAGACATGTGCAACATTTGGGTATTTTAAATGAGGAAACGTTTGACGCTACAGTGGCTTCATCAGTCCATGCAAAGGAGAATGATGGACTGATCACATTGACTCAAGGCTGAGGGACTGATTACCTCGAAATCCTCCTGTTCTTCACCATTCTTTGTATAGACTGATGAAGCCACTGTGTGGCGAAATGTTTCCTCATTAAAGATGCCCAAATGTTGCACGTGTGTCTAATTTATCATATTATTACCACTGACATACCATGTTCACTGAGTTTTAAGGGCAGTGACTGGGCCAGACACAGATCATACAGTTTTCTCTAATGCTGAACCAGAGAAAACGTGATGTTTTCCCTCCACCGACTCATCCCTCGATAGCATATAAACACTGCACATTTATATGGTATGCAACGTGCTTCGTATTTTTAAAGAAAATATCATAGATGGATTAATGAAAATGTCAATATTAATGTAAAATAAGGCATTTAATGTGCCCATGAGTGAGTCATGAACGTATGAGAGGCCCAAGGGGACACGTCTGATATGGACAATTTCCGGAACAAGGTATGAAATCCGGAGCAAAATTTTGCCAAAAAAGTGGTCAAAATCCAAATCATACGATATCCGGTGAAGACGAAATCCAGGGTTCCACCGTAATATACTTTCTAAGCACCATATCATGAATTTTATGGTGTTGAATTCAAGTGTGAATGGACAGTACTTTTTGTCACAGTCCACCGCCTCCTCAGTGATTTTTTTTTTTTTTTTTTTTAGGGCCTTGAGAATTTCACCTGCATCTAAACTTTGTCCAAGGTACACTTAAGAGTCAGGTAGAATTTAGCCAATAATGGCTGACTAACATTACTTACTGAACTATGGAGCTCTCCAATGTGCTCATTTATCTACAGTACAATGCTCTTTATCTATTATTACTTACTTCCAACTGAGGAGTTTAAAATCCCCTAAAAGACATTTTGTGTACAATTTTCTTGTCTAAACAAATAAAACTGGTATTTTACACCAATTCCACCCTACCCTTTGACAGCAGTGCATTGTAAATGAAGATTATCAGCTTCTTATCTTGTAAATGTACAAGGTATGCAGGCCTAGCTGACATCAATGATATACATCCTACTATATAGAAAGCCCCTTGTTATGCAGAGCATTTTGGGCAAATTACATCAGTTTTGTCCTGGGATGCGACTCACACTAGTTGACTGGCACCCAGGTGCCCATTTTTTTACTGGTGGATGAACACGGACAACCAGTGTAAGGAAATACGGCCAATGTTTCAACCCTCGCCGGGGATCAAACCTGGATCATCACCTTGTGAAGCGAGAGCTTTTGCCACCATACCAGAGGCCACCTTGGCTCATCTATACATACTATGCATAACTTGGCAGCTAAACGTTATTGTGAAAATGGTTTAGAGAAAAACTTTGTGGCAGATCCAATGCACCAATGTTGCTCTTGTTTCAATTCTGGTGTAATTTGAGTCAAGATATGTTTACAACATTTCCTCAGCAACCCACAATTAACAAATCTGCAAATTTACCCTGGTGATATTTTTATCTGGGTTAGAAAAATGCTAAGAAAACTAGGGTAAACTTGTTACAGATCTCCTTATTTTATATCTGAGTGTACAAACAAGCCCCACAAAATCTGGATAAACGAAATTTTGATATATAACTATGGAAATGCATCTAGTTTCAAAGGGCAATATAAATATGTGGAATAACAATTAGGGGCATCCTTTCCTAGGCAGTGGAGGAACAGTGAATGAAGCAATCGCATACCAAACTCACTACACATTCCCAGAGGACGTGTGCTAAATAGTCAATTAAGAAATTACTAAAGTTTTTCAAAAAGGGTGGATCAAAATTAGTAACAGAGTTACACTCTTGATGCTGTAATAAACAATGAGCAAGCACATCTTTACCAAACTATACTAATTTCTTAAGTGCAGAGAATACACTGCATAGTCACTCGTAAACATCACAAACTGAATTAATGCACATTTTCTTACTTTTAGGGATTTAATTTGTTTTTGTATCAGAACAATATCTTTAAAAACAGTATTTAAAAATTGCTTTACAAATCTTATCACTTGCCTTGAGGTAAAGACACAGCATGGAAGAGTCAACCTGCCCAATTTATGAATGTATACATAGTCCCTACAAATTCACTGAGGATTACTTTCATATGGTAAAGCGAAACTAGATACTGCTATTAAAAAAAAAGTTAATACTGACATTCCTAAAAAACAACAATAAACAGAAAAAATAGGCACTGGAAAGCCAATGAGTCAGAAAAAATATTGGATAATTTAATCCATTCACTAATTGCCCTTCATTTAAAACGTTGATAAATCAAAATTTCTAAATATGAAAGTATACAAATTTGTAGGGACAATTGTCAAGTGCAGGAAATACAAAAATTCATCAGCAAAATGAGCGATATATATATAGGGTGTATAAAGTGAACATAGATAAGAATAAGGTGATGATGGTATCAAATGATTTAGATAAAGAAAAATTGGATATCACATTGGAGAGTAGTAGTATGGAAGAAGTGAATGTTTTCAGATAATTGGGAGTTGATGTGTCAGCATATGGGTTTATGAAGGATGAGGTTAACCACAGAATTGACGAGGGAAAAAAGGCGAGTAGTGCATTGAAATATGTATGGAGACAAAAAAAGTTATCAATGGAGGCAAAGAAGGGAATGTATGAAAGTATAGTGGTACGAACACTCTTAAATGGGTGTGAAGCTTGGGTTTTAAATGCTGCAGCGAGGAGGCGGTTGGAGGCAGTGGAGATGTCCTGTCTAAGGGCAATGTGTGGTGTAAATATTATGCAGAGAATTTGGAGTGTGGAAATAAGGTGGTGTAGAATTAATAAAAGTATTAGTCAGAGGGCTGAAGAGGTTGTTGAGGTGGTTTGGTCATTTAGAGAGAATGAATCAAAGTAGAATGACATGGAGAGCATATAAATCTATATGGGAAGGAAGGCTGGGTAGGGGTCGTCCTTGAAAAGGTTGGAGGGAGGGGGTAAAGGTTGTTTTGTGGGCGAGAGACTTGGACTTCCAGCAAGCGTGCATGAGCATGTTCGATAGAAGTGAATGGAGACGAATGGTTTTTGGGACCTGACGAGTTGTTGAAGTGCGAGCAGGGTAATATTTAGTGAGAAGATTCAGGGAAACCAGTTATTTTTATATAGCTGGACTTGAGTTCTGGAAATGGGAAATGTAATGCCTGCACTTTAAAGGAGGAGTTTGGGATATTGGCAGTTTGGAGGGATGTGTAATAGGACGGTATATATAAAACTGGGGCCCTGATATTATATTCTATAGGGAGTTTATTATATTAATTCAGGTCACTTTTTGTATTGTATCTTTATATGTGCTTCCAAACTGTTGTATCTGGGCACCTCTACAAAAACAGTGATTATGTATGAGTGAGGTGAAAGTGTTGAATGATGATGAAAGTATTTTTGTTTTGGGGATTTTTCTTTTTGGGTCACCCCGCCTAGGTAGGAGACGGCTGACTTGTTGAAAAAAAAAAAATATATAGGCTTTCACATTTGTGCAAAATTCTTTAAATATATAATAAATTTTAAAATGAAGGGTGAGGATATAAAACCAACCTTCACATAAACCCCAAAATTTAAAACTGTTCCAGTAAAAAGTATTCTGAGCTAAGAAAGTTAAACAGATAATTGGAGACATTCACAAACTCAGGGAACATGTGTAGCAAATCTGATTTAGCTCTACCTGGTCCTCAATCCAGTGGCTCTTACATTTGTTAGGGAGCTACACTGCCTAATTATAACAAACTATCAATGAATTGGTAAGTAATTTAAAATTAAAAAGAAACTTAAGCTACTGCAATGAAACAAGTAATGGGAAGATGTCAATGAAAGCTACAAAGCCCAATATCTAATTAAAATACATACACAATAATGTTATACTAGCAAGAACAAAAAAAAAATAGATAAAGAGAGCCAAATGCAGAAAAAAACAACTGGAGAAGAAATGGTATTTGTCTGGAGACATTGGAAAATCTGACCAGGAAACAATTTGGGATTTTTAAAATTTGCAATTAATTCTATAAACATCTGAAAATGAAAATCCCCAAAGGAATGAGATGATTAGTTGTAAAGCAGCCACCAGGGAAACCCTTTTAACACCTTACAATTACAAGGTATCACAATGTCAGTGCATAACTAAAGTGGAAGTGTAAAGGTAATCTTCTCCACTATTAGTCCTAGTGCTACACATTTTATTCCTGTGTAAGCATGTAGACCATGTTTCACTCATTTGTTTATAAAAAACATCTTAAGGTAACCAGGCACTTGGTGTCAGTATCATTCTCCTATAAATTACAAATATACCCACCTTTGGTTGAGTGGAAGGATGCAAAGCCCAACACATCTCTCATCTGCTTCTCCTCTGCTGTTAATTCTTGTACAGGAGAATCTAAAAGAAACAGTTGGATAATTAACTGATTAAAAACTATCAATCTATCGCACTATCATTTAATTGGTTATCTCCTTGTAAAACAATATTGTAAAACCCTAACAGAGATAACAGTTATCAACAACCACTAATATTAGTGCCTTGTGACTCAACCTGGGGCATTTAACAAACATTTACCATATAAAGTTCTATCCCAAAAATTATTACAACCCAAAGTTAGTCTAAACAAACCCAAGTTGCATTCTCTAAGCTGGTTTCCAATATATCATTGTGCAATTAACGCAACACTTAATTCAAATTAATTTGCCTTCCTTTTCTACCATGCGTGTACAGTAATAAATATGAGAACAATATACTTGAGATAGCATAAAATAATCTTAAATACTAAGGTGAAATGCATAGCCATTGCATGAATATTCTAAAGTACAATACTGTACTATATAACCAGTTTCACTGAAATCTAACTAAAAATTGTCGCATATCTGTCGAATGGTTCTACAGCGCAGCTTCAGACCAAATCTCTTTAAATCAGAATGGAAAAAAATTACATGAAAAACAAGATTAAGAAACAAAATTAAGAGAATAAAATACTGATTGCCAGTAGCAATACTAAAAAAATTTACCTGCAGTGTTATGTAGTGAGAAAAATCAACACTTGCCTGAGTGCAAAATGTTGATCAGAATACCCTTGCACTGAAGACAATAATGGTACTTTACCTCCCTGATAATTGCAAGCCACCACCCAACTACCTAATATCACACTTGTTAAACATAACACTAACCATCGTGTCGTCCAGATGGCCCTGCCATATAAACAGGAGATCTACGATGAGACCTAGGGGACCTAGATCTTGAACGTGACCTGGAGCGAGACCTACGATCTCGTCTCTCGCGTTCACGATCTCTATCACGTCTTCCTGGATCTCTCTCCCGGGAATGAGACCTGCAATATAATATACATACACTAAATGAAACAAAAATGAAGAAATAGGGAAAAAAATTAATAAATTTATTAATCAATACTGAATACAAAAATATATAAATTTCAGGGAAAGAAATGAAAAACTAAACATTCTTTAGTTTAATGACCTCTCATTTATCAAGGTGTACTTTTAGGTTCTAAACACATTATTGTTAGAAAATAAACAGAACAGTACTTTTGTTTTAACACACTGGTCATCTCAAGCCGAGGCAGGGTGATCCGAAAAAGAAACATTTCACCATCATTAACACTATCACTGTCTTGCCAGACACAGATACAACAGTGTACCAGATGTCCTAAACAGCAAATATCCCAAACCCCTCCTTTAGAGTGCAGACACTGAACTTCCCACCTCCAGAACTCAAGTCAAGAATATATAAAAACAAAATACACAGTGGAAAGACTCCAGATCTAAGACCTTAAACAACAATTGGTAGAGGCACCTTAAGATTCCACAAATATTTTGCTAAGCTGTCACCATCAGTCCAGTTGCACTTGATACTACAGGAAATACATTTTCAAGTAAAAACTAAATACAGTGGAACCTCTACTTGCGAGCGTGTCCACATGCAAGTTTTTCCAAATACAGTGGACCCCCGGCATACGATGGCATCGCGTTACGTTAAATCCGGCATACATTTTAACGCAAAAATTTTGCCTCGCCTCATGTTAAAAAACTCGCCTCACGCGATTCGTTTGGGAAGCATCCCACGTGTGGCCTCAGCGCCAGTGTTCACAAGCCAGCCAGTGCGGTCGCATCTACGCATACATTCGGTACATTTCACATTATCCCAGTGTTTTTAGTGCTTGTAACTACAAAATAAGTCACCATGGACCCCAAGAAAGCTTCTAGTGCCATCCCTATGGTAAAAAGGGTGAGAATTAGTATGGAATTTAAAAAAGAGATTAAGGAAATGTGTGCAAAGTGGCTTGAAGTGCAAACCTTTATGTATGAAAATCACCCTCACACAGCTATTGCAAGCCGTGCTGGTGACTATTACAATGACAATGTTGTGAACCACTTTAGACAAATTGTGAAGGAACGAGAGGTACAGAGCTCTATGGACAGATATGTTGTGCAACATAGGTCTAGTGACTCTCAAGCTGGTCCTAGTGGCATTAAAAGAAGGGAAGTAACCCCAGAAAAGGACTTGATACCTCAAGTCCTAATGGAAAGGGATTCCCCTTCTAAACAATAAGTTCGACACTCTCCCCTCCTCCCATCCCATCATTCACCACCTGATCTTCATTAAAGGTAAGTGTCATGTATTCTACTGTTAGTAGAGTACTACTAACTGTGCATGTCTTCTTCAGTTTGTGTGCATTAAACTTAATATTTCATGTGGTAAAACTTTTTTTTTTTCATACTTTTGGGTGTCTTGCTTGGATTAATTTGATTTCCATTATTTCTTATGGGGAAAATTAATTCGCCTTATGATAATTTCGGCATACAATGAGCTCTCAGGAACAGATTAATATCGTATGCTGGGGTCCACTGTACGAGAAGTCGATGGGTCGATTTTTTGCAAAATTTCCACAAGGCAGGTTCCTTGACACTAGTGAGGGTCTCTTGCTCTTGATCTCGGGAAGTGTGTCTTATTTGTTTGTTGGACTATCTTATTGAAACTTGGGCAATGTATGATGGAAAGATGGTTCTTAACATACACCAAAATTGAAAGAAATCTAAGCATAGATAATGGAGTTCACTTCACAGCAATTAGCCACCCCTTAGCGGTAATTTCGAATGGTTTTTATGGTTGTATTCTCATTTTTTTGGGTCTCATTTGATAGAATGGAAGATATATTACAGAAATCGATATGATTTTGATTGCTTTCACGACGAAAAGTACCTTGAAGTTGAGCTCAACGTAGGAGAAATGGTCCATTGCTTGGCTATGTTCCAGAGTAAACAAATGATGTCACTGTCCATTCCAATATGCAGTCGTGAATGGGTTGACATTATTTATACAATTATTGCAAATAAGGAATAACAGTAAATCTTTTATTTTTTGTGTGAAAAAAAATTACAAATTTATATAGTGTGTGAATAAAAATTACAAATTTATATAATATGAGGAACTTTTAAATGTTAAGGAAGAAACAGAGGCAGTAATTTCATGCACTGGTCAGGGAGGTATACCATCTTTTAGGAGTGAAGAAGAGCAGAATGTAAGTGTGGGGGAGGTACGTGAGGCATTACGTAAAATGAAAGGGGGTAAAGCAGCTGGAACTCGTGGGATCATGACAGAAATGTTAAAAGCAGGGGAGGATATAGTGTTGGAGTGGTTGGTACTTTTGTTTAATAAATATATGAAAGAGGGGAAGGTACCTAGGGATTGGCAGAGAGCATGTATAGTCCCTTTATATAAAGGGAAAGGGGACAAAAGAGACTAAAAATTATAGAGGAATAAGCTTACTGAGTATACCAGGAAAAGTGTACGGTAGGGTTATAATTGAAAGAATTAGAGGTAAGACAGAATGTAGGATTGCGGATGAGCAAGGAGGTTTCAGAGTGGGTAGGGGATGTGTAGATCAAGTGTTTACATTGAAGCATATATGTGAACAGTATTTACATAAAGGTAGGGAAGTTTTTATTGCATTTATGGATTTAGAAAAGGCATATGAGAGAGTGGATAGAGGAGCAATGTGGCAGATGTTGCAAGTATATGGAATAGGCGGTAAGTTATTAAATGCTGTAAAGAGTTTTTATGAGGATAGTGAGGCTCAGGTTAGGGTGTGTAGAAGAGAGGGAGACTACTTCCTGGTAAAAGTAGGTCTTAGACAGGGATGCGTAATGTCACCATGGTTGTTTAATATATTTATAGATGGGGTTGTAAAGGAAGTAAATGCTAGGGTGTTTGGGAGAGGGGTGGGATTAAATTTTGGGGAATCAAATTCAAAATGGGAATTGACACAGTTACTTTTTGCTGATGATACTGTGCTTATGGGAGATTCTAAAGAAAAATTGCAAAGGTTAGTGGATGAGTTTGGGAATGTGTGTAAAGGTAGAAAGTTGAAAGGGGAACATAGAAAAGAGTAAGGTGATGAGGGTGTCAAATGATTTAGATAAAGAAAAATTGGATATCAAATTGGGGAGGAGGAGTATGGAAGAAGTGAATGTTTTCAGATACTTGGGAATTGACGTGTCCGCGGATGGATTTATGAAGGATGAGGTTAATCATAGAATTGATGAGGGAAAAAAACGTGAGTGGTGCGTTGAGGTGTATGTGGAGTCAAAAAACGTTATCTATGGAGGCAAAGAAGGGAATGTATGAAAGTATAGTAGTACCAACACTCTTATATGGATTTGAAGCTTGGGTGGTAAATGCAGCAGCGAGGAGACGGTTGGAGGCAGTGGAGATGTCCTGTTCAAGGGCAATGTGTGGTGTAAATATTATGCAGAAAATTCGGAGTGTGGAAATTAGGAAAAGGTGTGGAGTTAATAAAAGTATTAGTCAGAGGGCAGAAGAGGGGTTGTTGAGGTGGTTTGGTCATTTAGAGAGAATGGATCAAAGTAGAATGACATGGAAAGCATATAAATCTATAGGGGAAGGAAGGCGGGGTAGGGGTCGTCCTCGAAAGGGTTGGAGAGAGGGGGTAAAGGAGGTTTTGTGGGCAAGGGGCTTGGACTTCCAGCAAGCATGCATGAGCGTGTTAGATAGGAGTGAATGGAGACAAATGGTACTTGGGACCTGACGATCTGTTGGAGTGTGAGCAGGGTAATATTTAGTGAAGGGATTCAGGGAAACCGGTTATTTTCAAATAGTCGGACTTGAGTCCTGGAAATGGGAAGTACAATGCCTGCACTTTAAAGGAGGGGTTTGGGATATTGGCAGTTTGGAGGGATATGTTGTGTATCTTTATATGTGTATGCTTCTAGACTGTTGTATTCTGAGCACCTCTGCAAAAACAGTGATAATGTGCGAGTGTGGTGAAAGTGTTGAATGATGATGAAAGTATTTTCTTTTTGGGATTTTCTTTCTTTTTTGGGTCACCCTGCCTCGGTGGGAGACGGCCGACTTGTTGAAAAAAAAAAAAAATGTATAATAATAATAATACATATAATAATAATAGTATAATAATATAATAATAATACAATTATAATACATGTATAATAATAATACATCTTTCTTTTTTCAACACAACGGCTGTATCCCACCGAGGCGGGGTGGCATATAATACATTTTTTTTTTTCCAACAAGTCAGCCGTCTCCCACCGAGGCAGGGTGACCCAAAAAAAGAAAAAAAATCCCCAAAAGAAAAATACTTTCATCATCATTCAACACTTTCACCACACTAACACATTATCACTGTTTTTGCAGAGGTGCTCAGAATACAACAGTTTAGAAGCATACACATACAAAGATACACAACATATCCCTCCAAACTGCCAATATCCCAAACCCCTCCTTTAAAGTGCAGGCATTGTACTTCCCATTTCCAGGACTCAAGTCCGACTATATGAAAATAACCGGTTTCCCTGAATCCCTTCACTAAATATTACCCTGCTTACACTCCAACAGATCGTCAGGTCCCAAGTACCATTTGTCTCCATTCACTCCTATCTAACACGCTCACGCACGCTTGCTGGAAGTCCAAGCCCCTTGCCCACAAAACCTCCTTTACCCCCTCTCTCCAACCCTTTCGAGGACGACCCCTACCCCGCCTTCCTTCCCCTATAGATTTATATGCTTTCCATGTCATTCTACTTTGATCCATTCTCTCTAAATGACCAAACCACCTCAACAACCCCTCTTCTGCCCTCTGATTAATACTTTTATTAACTCCACACCTTTTCCTAATTTCCACACTCCGAATTTTCTGCATAATATTTATACCACACATTGCCCTTAAACAGGACATCTCCACTGCCTCCAACCGTCTCCTCGCTGCTGCATTTACCACCCAAGCTTCACACCCATATAAGAGTGTTGGTACTACTATACTTTCATACATTCCCT